GCAGCTGCCAAAATATACTTTGTCCATGAGACATTAGATCCCAAAACTAATCTTCTTGTATCCATTTTGTACCTGAATGTATTGTGTCTATTGTTCCTCAATTCAAAGGTGAGTCCTGTTCAGGCTTGCAAATTTCCCCTTTGGATTTAATGTAAGTTAAGTTTGATGTACAGCACAGAAACAGGCCATTCAGCCTAATTCTTGTCAAGAGAATCAGAGATTAGATTGGCTAGAATGGAGTGTGGAATTCGAAACACAATCAGATCAGCCGTGACCTTCTCAAATGGCAGAGCATGCTCTAAGGGCCTATTCTGTCTCCTAATTCCTACGTTTATAGATGATTGAACAGGCCCGTTCTTAACTTGCAGGGCTAGCAGGGCCGGGAGGGCAGGATGTGCTTCCTTTCTGTTCCTCCTCTGCTGCCAATTTGCTTCATTGTTAGGGTGTTGGGACTTGAAGCTTGATGCATTTTGATGGACAGATTGTTGCCATTTTGAACACTTGGTATTCGGTTCCTTGAAGATGAATGTTAGGGTATCTTTGAAGCTGTATCCTTGTCCTCCTCTGGCAGATTGGCCATTTGACAATTGAGAAAACAGAACCAGGCAGGGAAGATACATGAGAGTGCAATGTCTGATCTATTGGAGCTGACTTTTGCAATTTTGCCTCAATGCATTTGTATGTGTATTAGTATAGATATATGTAAAATCATTAATAATAACTTGATTTAAGTAAAAGAAGATGACACATGTTAGGCGTTATCTCACAGACCTTCATTCCACAATAGGCCAGTGGTGAATTATTGATTTGGAGAGGAGCTCCTCATCTGCAGAGATGAATCTGACACTTGGAAAATTAGTTATGTTACGTTTGAAGATTTTCTCTTCCTCTCACTGTCTCTATCTCTTTATTTTTGGGGATTTTTTGGTGTTCAATGATTCAGCCACTTCAAAGCTGCCTTCGATTTACTGCGGTGATTGCATGCTCTGTACAGAGACCTCTCCCCGTTCAAGAACACTGAGGTCCTGAATCATGTATGGCTCTTTCACACAGAGAATGAATGTTACACTAAATTATTCAGCCAGGCTCTATGTAGCAGAATGATTTCCTTTGTAGGTGAGGGTTTTGTGTATGCGTGTATGTCTGTCGTTACCAGCTCAATTTCCTTTTTACTCACCACCGTCTTTTCGGCAAGGTCATCCACTATGTAAATTTGATCAGATTTATTTTCGCTGGGAGAAGGTGGGAGCTGAATACGGCCATTGACTCAAAGCACAGCCTTTAAAAAAAAAAGTGCAGCTGCGTCCTAAACCCCATCCTGTGTGACTTTCTAACAATCTTTTCTTGTTGCATTGCAAATTTGGCCTCGCGTGACGTCATTTAAGGAATTGACATTATCAATCATTGTTAGCTTCCAGTTGTGGGAAGCACAATTTCGAGGCCTAAGAGACAGGAACCTATTGGCTTAAGAGGCAGTGACTGAGAAATCCAAGAGAGTGCAAGGGAGCCATTTTAGTTCACTTCTTGATCTGCTTTGGTTTCTTTTAATGTTTATTCTCTGGTATTCTCTATATCCCCCTTTAAGCAGACTGGCAGGGAATGATGCCTCCCTTCTCAGTTTCATCCCACAAGAGAATATGATAATGGAGTGTGCCCCTCAATTAGCATTTTTGTTTGTCAGCTGTGGCTCAACTACTCTTGCTTCAGAGTCTAGGTTCAGACCCCACTCCAATGCTGCGGAGAGTGTGAGGAAAGTGGGAACTGGTGCTCCAGTGCAATACAACGCGAATGTGGTTTTGTCTGAGGTGCCCTCTTTGCTGCCCGTCTGCTGCTGCATCATTTTGAGGAAGAGCAGGGTCAAGCTGTACCCAGTGTACTGACCTGGCAAAAATTGATCTCTCCATCAGTGTCGCAAGTGTGGTCATTATCACACTGATGCTCTGTGGGAGCTGGCTATGCACAGATTGGCAGTCACGTTCCTTTATTATGACTTCAATAAATACTTACGGTTGTGAGACATGAAAATGGCGATACAAATAACATTATTTGACAAGATGTAGGAGTGCTGATTCATTTGTCAAGGTGGTAGTGGGTGCAGTACATGGTAATCAGCAGGAGGTTTCCTTATTCATGTTTGACCTGATGCCATGAGACTACATGAGGTCCAGAATTAATGTTGAGGACTCGCAGGGTGAGTCCCTCCCAACTGTATACCACCTTGCTGCCACCACTGCTTGGTGGCACCTCTGCTGATGAGACAGGACAAACCCAGGGCTGATGATTGTGGTGTCTGGGGCATTGTCTTTAAGATATGATTACCTGAGTATGACTATATCAGGCTATTTCTTGACTGGTCTGTGGGACAGCTCTCCCAGTTGTGACATTATTCCCCCAAGCTGTTACTGTGAAGGATGTAAAACTTGAGAGGGTGCTGAAAAGACTTACAAGGATATTGGCAGGACTGGAGGGTTTAAGTTATAGGGAGAGGCTGAATAGAGGGGTGAATTTCCCTGGAGCTACGGAGGTTGAGGGCTGACCTTATAGAGGTTTATAAAATCATGAGGGCCATGGATATAGTGAATAGCCAAGGTCTTTTCCCAAGGGTAGGGGAAGTCCAAAACTAGAAGGCACAGGTTTAAGGTGAGAGGGGAAAGATTTAAAAAGGACCTGAGGGATAATTTTTTCACACAGGGTGGTGCATGTATGGAATGAGCTGCCAGAGGAAGTGGTGGAGGCTGGTACAATTACAACATTTAAAAGGCATCTGGATGGATATATGAATAGGAAGGGTTTAGAGGGATATGGGCCAAATGCTGGCAAATGGGATATCTAGTCGGCATGGATTAGTTGGACCAAAGGATCTGCTTTCAGGCTGTCTGACTCTGAGGACTTTGCAGGTTCAACGGGGCTGAGTTTGCCATTGTCGTTTCTGGTGCCAGATGGTCCATCTGGTTTCACTTCTTTGAAACATTTTAGCAGTTGATAAAACTGAGTGGCTTGTTGGAGCCATTTCAGAGGGCAGTTAAGAATCGACCAGGTTGCTGTGGGTCTGGAGTCAGGCCAGATTGTAAGGATGCCAAATTTCCTTCCTGAAAAGAAATCAGTGAATTAGACATGTTTTGCAATATTTTGCCTTCCCCAATACATTAGTACCTTCTTTGCCGGTTTGAATTCCCATTTGACCAGACCAGGTAATGCCCTCCTCTAAAGGACTTTAGTGAATCAGACCATGGCTCTGTGGTCATGATTTAACTTTTAATTCCAGATTATCAAAAGGAAAATTAAAACTCCACTATTTGCTGCGGTAGAATCTGAATCTGGGTCCCCATAACGTTACCTGGGTCTCTGGATTAATAGTCCAGCAACAATACCCTGTGCCATCACCTGGCAAAGTGCAGCAGAGTGGTGGAGAGGTTGAAGGAGGGAATTCCAGTGTCAAGGCAGCTGAAAGCATGGCCACCAATGGTAGAGCGATTGAAATTGGAATTGCAAAGAATTAGAGGAGTGTGTGTATCTTGGAGGGACTCCCATCTCAAACACTATAGACAAAGGTTCTCTTAGTCGCTGAACCTGTACTGAGTCCCAGTGAGCTGAACCCCTTCTTATTCACTCCCATTAAATATGATCCCAATTGCTGAAATCCTTCCTTTTTACTCCCATTGTAAATGATTTCAATCGATCAGTTTTATCCCAGTGTACAGAATTGCAAGCCTCCTATAATTAGCAACCCTGACCTATGGACTGCTGTAATTAACCTATTATAATTAACACCAACGGAAAAAGTTGGATTCAAGTGGGATTAGAAGCACATCTTAAAGCTACTAGTTAAAATGTTAATTCCCGAAATGTATTATTTAGCGGCAGGCAAATATTTTTAAATATTTATCTAATTTAATCCACTAGAATGTCCCAAAAAATGATAGGTGTGAACTCAATGGAAATCTTGCTCTGAAAATGACTTGGAGCCTGCTACCATGAGGACTCAAATAGTAGAAATGCCTTTACAGGGGAAACGGTTAAACAGATGAGGAAGGAAGGAATATGTGAAAAGGTTGGACAGGCTCGGCTCATATTCATAGGCGTTTAGGGGGAACTTAATTGAAATGTATATGATCCTGAAGAGTCTTGGCGCGATAGGTGTGAATGCAGGTTTACTGTTGTGGGAGCATCTAGAACTCGGTATCTCTGTTTAAATATCCAGAATGAAGAGAAATGTTTTCGTTCTCCCAGAGGGTTGTGAGTCTTTGGAACTCTCTCTCTCTCAAAACGTGGTGGAAGCAGAGTCTTTGAATACTTTTAAGGCAGAGGTGAATGGATTCTTCATGAACAAGAGGATGAAAGATATTCCGGGGTGGAGGAGGGTAAGGTGGGAATATGGAGTAATCAGATCAACCATGATCTTGTAGAGTGGCAGACAGATGGGAAGGCCTTCTCCTGATCATAATTCGTATGAATGGCGAGATAGTGTGATAGGGTTGCAAGATGAGGAGTGGAAGTTAAGCTCATACGGAGAGTAAATGCTAGCAATGGACCTGTTGGGCTGAATAGCCTCTTCCTGTGCTGTAAATTCTATGCAACTATGATTTACCAAACATTAGAAGACTTGCAAGAATCATAAATTGCTGAGTGATTAAGGTAGCAGTGTGAAATGAAAATGAGGTAACAGTTCCTTTACAAAAATAACAATGAATTTCAGCTTGCTATTTAAGGTATTGGAAACCCTTAGTTTTCATTTCTGTGCTGTGGAGCTACAGGCTATTCTCATTTTTTTTGTCACTAAACTATAAAAGGAACATTTGACCGTGAAGGCAAGGTGATTCTGATTTGTACTTCTGCAGGACTGAGTTATATAGTTGAAGAGAGTCACTTTCTAAAGATGTGACACAGCGGAGCCATGTTGAAGAGACATAAAGCATTAAACCACAGAGATAAATCCAACCTGGAAATGACTTTGAATTATACCAGTTTATTTGTACAGATTAAAATTGCTGAGAGGGAAGTTCAGGACAAGCACCTGGCGTACAAAGTACGGGTAACTTTGGGGTCCTTTAAGATTTTTGAAACTCTCAACCATTGTTTTCAAATACTGCTGTGGGATTCTACCTCCCTATGTCAGTCCTCTCATCTTATGAGACCTCTGAGTCCTTAAACTCTGACACTGCGATTCTTGTTGTTTCTCTGCTAATTTCAGGTGCCTGGGTCTGATGCTGAAGAGTTCCCTCCCTGAACATCCTCTTGTCTCTGCCTTTTTCTCTCATATTTTAAAGATGGTGTTCAGAACATTTCTGTTTGACCAAGGGTTTGGTCTTCAATCCTGGTATCTCCTGACACTGATCAACTTTTGTTTGATTACTTTCCGGTGCTGCGTCTTGGGCTGCCTTAAGATGTTAAATCCATTGAAACATAGAAAATAGAAGCAGGGGTAGGCCACTGACACATGACTTAAGGAAATCCAGGCACTGCATTTAAAGGTTCTCCACTATGAAGCTGCTGTATCAGCTGTATCAGGATATTCATATTTGGCCAAGACTTCCCGAACAAGGTCTGTCCAATTAGTGTCGGAGGGCTCTCAGGTCAGCAAAGGCACAGTACAATCCCATCTGCTGCTCGCGGCATTTCTCCTGTATTCACCAGGCAGTGGAAATCTTTTCTAAACCTTTCTGATAGTACACCTTATCATGACATATCTCAATGGATTAGACTAACTGTAAGGGGTGCCATTAATAAGATGATTGCGAGTGATGCCAAAATTAGCTGTGTGTTTGATCATGAAGGATGTAGACCACAGGAGGATAACAATGGACAGGTTGAGTGGGCAGAAAAGTAGCAATTGGGAATTCGGTCAGGTAACACATGATTTAGTATATTGGGGAGGGCAAAATTTTGTAATACCTGTCTGGTTCACTGATGCCCTTTAGGGAAGGAAATCCGCCATCCATACCCTGTCTGGCCTACAGATTCCAGTCCCACAGCAATGGCATTGACTCTTACATGCCCTCTGAAATGGTCTAACAAGCCGCTCAATTCAAGAGCAGTTAATTGTCATTTTTCTTATGGTTAGTTTGTGGAATTTTTTGCGTACACCATATTTTAAAGGGGTTTCCTTTCCCAGGTCTGTTCTGATTGTCCAACTATCTGAGACACAGTGGAGCATCTAATAAGCTTCTCCTTTACCATAGGATGGAAATTTCTTGTTGTTCAGGCATTCTTCACCTTGACCTTCAAAATTCTTTCTGGTTGCTTCCATTCTTCTTCTGTCTTTGGCCTTGCAGCTGCCGGCTTCTTTTTCCACTTGCATCACCATTTGTCCTCAGGAGATGACCCAAAAATGAAATTTGCAGCTTGAAGATCCAATTGAGGTGCATGAAATTATGAAGGGGCCTGGAAATTCTGGGTTGGAGTGACCTAATTCACTTAATGAAAAGGGCAGACACTAGGGGAAATAGATATAAATCTGATAGAAGACCTTTGAGGAGAAATCTTCTCAACCAGAGAGTGTAGAGTGTCTCAGACTCGCTGTCAGAATGGGACAAAGAGGGTAAAACACTCATTGTGTTTTTAAAAACAAGTACTTGAGTATGCACCTGAGGCCAGGGCTGTGGACTGCGTGTAGAAAATTGGTTTAAGCGAGAGACCATTTCTGCAAACCACCACAGAAATGATGGGACAGAGGCCCTCCCTGTACGCTGCTACAATTCTTTGCGGAGGCTCTTCCAGCATGTGTGCTGCAGCTGTTCATGAAGAAAATTGAGGAGCAATTAGAGATACCAGCCTTGCCAACCGTGCCCATATCCCCAGAATGCATTTTCTAAAAGTTCTCTGATTTGGGAGGAAGGGTCAGTCTAAGAAGAGGAAAGATAAATATAATGTTGCCAGATGGATAAGGAAAAATAAAAACTAGTTCAGGCAAGTTCACTGTGGCCAACACACAGTGGGGAAGTGCTGGTTAACCCATTGCAGTTTGTGACAGTAATAGGATTTAAAGAAGAAAAAAACCTTTCTGTAAATGTTAATGTAGAGAGACTTAGAGGTTCACCTTTGATTCTTCCCTCTGAGAACGCTGAGGAAAAATTACTGGCACTTTCAGCCGGTTCATAAATGATCATTTCAGACTGACGGCATTGGAATTTTCTGTGACGCTGGGGAGTGGAGATTCCAGTTGATGGGGTGCTGAATAATGTGAAATTTTGCTGTTTCTTCAGTGTTTGCATTTTGTTGTTTTTTTGAAAGACAAATGAAAGAAGAGGATCAGTGCTGATCTCCATTTTGAAGACACTTCATATTTGTTAGTGTGCTAAAATGAGAACATTGCAGTGATTCAGGGAACTACGTACTCTGACATTTGAGTCATTCAAGAGAGCATTGAATGATTATTTGGATTAAAAAAAAGTGCAAGGTTAGGAGGAAAAGACAGGAAACTGTCACTAGGCATTGATTTGAAGAGACGCAATGGGCCGAATGGTCCCTTCCTGTGTCAAAAGGTAAAGTCGCCATAGTCCCACCCTTAGAGAGAGATGACTGGTGGTGAGGGTCACCACACCTCAGGCAAGGGACAAGGTTGAGATGGTGGTACCTTCACAGTGACCTCTGCCGGTACAGGAATTGAGCCTGCGCTCTTGGCCTTTACTCTGCATTGCTAACCAGCCATCTAGCCAGCTGAGCTAACCTTTGCCATAACACTTCTGTGATCCTGTGACATTATTAAATACTATTGTGTGGACTTGATATTGAATTTGGTAATTGTTGATGTCTGCTCGACTGTTGCCGCAACTGCTCTATGTTGCCTGTTTATGGAGAAGCTTGAGAGCTGTATGTTGTCAGCAGTAGATATCTGTATCTCTAAACACAAGTGACATGAGCAAATCTGGGAGGCCTCCCGTACACAGTGGATGTAATATTAAAATTGCATATGCTCCTGACTTTTTCTTTGTGACTGTTCCAACCGCTGTGACACAGATTGTGAGACATCACCCACCTCCCTCAATCCCCTTTCCTACACAATTATTTTCTAAAATTGTTTCTTCTCTCACAGTTGTTTGTCCATCTCTGTTTGCCTATGAAAAAATGGTGTGAGCTGTCTCCTTGATTTGCTGCCATATAGGGAGAGCATTCCAGAACTTTGACCCAGTAACGCTGAAGGAATGGCGAATATTTCCAAATTAGGATGATGCGTGGCTTGGAAGGGAAATTGCAGTTGATGGTGTTCTCATTGTCTCTACTGCCCTTGTCCTTCTAGGTGCTAGTGGCCACATGTATGGAAGGTGCTGCTATACATCCTGTAGATGGCACTGACTGTTTCCACATTGCATGTTGGTGAGGGAGTCAGTGTTGAATGTGGTGAATGAGGTGCCAACAAATGCTTTGACTTGGATGACGTTGAGCTTCTTGAGTATTGTTGGAGTCTTACTACCCATGGTGGCTATTTCATCACACTTCTTACTGGCGTCTTGTGGATGGTGACCAGGCTTTGGAGAATCAGGAGATAGTCTACTCACCGTACAATTCTCAGACTCTGTCCCACTCTTCTATATAAGAACATAAGGAATAGGAGCAGGAGTGGGCCATTCTGCCTCTCAAGCCTGCCGTACCATTCTGGAAGATCATGATGATCTGTTCTAGCCACATGCCCTCTTTGGTACCAACTCCTCATTTCCCATTATTTCAAAAACTAGTCTGCCTCCTCTTTAAAACTTGCAGTGATCTGAACTCCACAACTCTGTGGGGTAGAGAATTCCAAACTTTAACTACCCTCTGAGAGAAGAAATTCTTTTGCATCTTTGTTTTGAATGAGTGTCCCATTACTCAACAACTATGTCCCCTAACTTGGGATTCCCTTAGTAGTGGAAACATCTTTACCTCTACCCTGTCAAGCCCTCCTTAGAATCTTGTATGTTTCAAAATGCTTGCCTCTCATTCTTCAAAACTCTAATAAATAAAGACCCCATCTGTTCAGTCATTTATGATAAGTCAACCCCTTCAGAGAGTAGGTTTACAAGAATGACACCTGGACTTTAGGGAGAAAGTTATGAGGAGACGTTATATGAATTAAGTCTGTTTTCTCTAGAATTCAGAAGGTTAAGATCTGATCAAAGTCTTCAAGATCTTAACATGGTAGATGAAGATAAACTATTTTCATAGTTGAATATTCTAGACCTAGGGATTCTCATAGTCTGAGAATTAGGGCCATACCATTCAGGAGAGATATTACGAAGCACTTTCACACACAAAGGGTGGTAGATTTTTGGAACTCTCTTCGATAAGTGGCAGTTGATGCAGGGTCAGTTGTTAATTTTAAATCTGAGTCAGATTTGTTTTGTTAAGCAAAGGTATTAAGGGATAAGGGCGAAAGGCAGGTATACAGAGTTAGGCCACAGATCAGGCATCATCTCATTGAATAGTGGGACAGGCTTTTGGAGCTGAATGGCCTACTGCTGTTCTTACATACCTATCCCAGGAATCAGGAAGCAGCCTGGTGAATATGGCTAGTTCAATTCAGTTTCTCACAGAATCACAGAATTATTACAATGCAGAAGAAGGCCATTCAACCCATCTGTCTGCACAGGCTCTTCAAACAAGCATCATTATCTAGCTCCAATTATCTGGTCAGTGCTAACCCCGGGATGTTGATATTCAGGGGATATTCAGCAATGGAAATGCCATTGAATGTCAAAAGTTGATGGTTACATTCGGTCTTGAAGGAGGTGGTCCTTACCTGCCACTTGTGTGGCACAAGTGTCATTTGCCACTTATCAGCTCAGGGTTGAATATTGTACTATTGTTGCATGAGGATATGGACTGCCTTAGTCTTTGCGAGTTTTAACCTCTTCAAAAAAGACCAACAACAACTTGAATTTATATAGTGTTGGTATCTTTGTCCCTTCACAGGATTATCCTCTGTTCCAGGGAGGTTGGTCATCAACGCTCAGGAAAGAACAAAGATTTGCATTTATGTAGTGTCTTTTCTAACTTCAGGCCATCCCTATGGGCTTTACAGTCAACAAGGGTGGCAGGAATGTAAT